AATTCTGAAATTTACAGCTAGTCATATGACAAAAGATATGTTTTCCTTTTCTCTAGTTTACGTTGGGGTAAATTAACTAGCTTTTCCAATATTTCTTGTAAAAGAGGTTGTTAATTCAGAAATTTCCTATTTAACGCATTAATTCAATACAGTTGAAGTAAAAACTTGTAAATATATAATCAAAAAGAGGGAAGCACGTAATTTATTATCTTCTGTTAAACTTAAACAGCCCACTTCAAAAGAATCTGTTAGATTTAGGGTTCTAGACCAAACATGTGAAAGGATCATATCTGTCAAGGGGATATATTAAGGACCAACTTGCGCTTTGTATACAAAGATTAGGAAAAAACTAACTTGAGTCCCAAGCATAACCTTCCGCAGAAATCAACACTTCTTTTCTCTCCTAAAAATTTGTTTCCTCCTAAATTTTCGTTGTTGGAATTAACCTGATCAGATATCTATAAATAGTCCGTGATATTATAGCATTCACGTCAATAAGCTTCCGCCATTCGTTTAGGGTTTTCTTCCATAGTTCTTGTCTTCTTACTTGAGACAACAGAAGTTCTTGTCTTTGCGAATTGGGGAAATTACTATTGTCTCAGTCTTGTGTTTCTCTATAAGCAAGAAAAAGAGACGACCATATATACCATGCCAACGGGACATGGAAAGGCCAAACCGGTATTTTTCCTATCAAGAATGGTAAGGGAACTGTGGTTGGGTTTAGAAGATGTTTCAAGTTTCAAACTAGTAGTAAAGGAGAGCACAATAAAGATTGGCTGATGAAAGAATATTCCGTCGGGGATGATTTCTTCAAAGAAAACAATATTCCTAAAGAGGATATTGTAGTGTGCCGAATCAAGAAGAATATAAGAGCTGAGAAAAATCATGGGGTAACTATGGAGGAACAAGTTGCTCCAAAAGTAATCGAAGCTATGTTGCATGGACCTGATGAAGTTTACGGCACAACAGTACTACAACAAGAAACAACTTGTGAAGCAGCTGAACATCAAGTTATGGACGAGACTCAAAAGATGAATGAACAGAATAATAATAATAGCAGCAATACTAATGACTGCTCCAACTACCAACAGGAGATTAATTGGGCTGATGATCTGCTCATAGGTATTGACGACTTTGGAGATATAATCTGGTGAGCATGAGTAATGAAGGGGAAGTAGAACGAGGGGAGTAGAGACACGCAGCAGTCAGTTTATATAATTCGATGAAGTACTAGATGGAATTTACAGAAAATAGAGAAACTTTGACATATTTAGTTTCTAACTTTATAACTTCGAGGAAAGCAAAAGAAACTTACTACTATTTCTTAGTACTACTAGGTGACAGTTTCTCGTTGGAATAAACTTCTAAAGAGAAATTTGCTATTGCCAGAAGAATTTCTTTGTATTCATATATATATATATATATGTTTGACATGATTTCCTGTTATATATTTGTAGGTATAATGCTTACTATCTGTTCCCTGGCAGTAATTCTTTATCATCATTCATGCTTATAAAATTTTTTTAACTACTTCATCTTTCACAATTTTTGTTTCGATCAAATCCATCCTCTGGTGGCTAGCTAAAGAACAAATTACTGCCCATATTGTTCTTGTAGCGTATCTATTTGGTTTCACTAAACACAATTATCTTTTGTTGTTTTGATTGCAACAGATATCTTTCTTGTCAACTTAACTGTATTAAGCTTATTGTTAAAAACCGCTAAAGTAAATCAGTTTGAACCACAATCGCGAATTGTTAAAAGCAGTACATTTTAAATTTTCTCTAGGTAGATTCAGAATATAGTGTAATTTGTGTAATCCGATTATCTTCATTTCCTATATTTGTCTCCATTAATATTTCCCCCAAGTTCTTATAACTTGGATGGATGATGATGTCCCATTCTAATATCAATGGCTTATGCTTAATTAATTAACCACGTCTTAACCATGATTTTGATTATGAATATTTCCATGTAAATAATATTTGCTAACAAAAGATTTGGCGCGCGTTCTTTCAATCATGGCAATTGGCGGCATACTATTTCCATTTACACACTCGGACTAAGGATGTTCAAGATGAGCACCTGAACACATAATAAAGTATTTCTATTAGACACTCGTTGGGGAGATATTAGGAAAATGGTTCTTGGTTCTTATTTTTAGCGGGGAATCGGAGCCTTTAAATTTGGTTAACGGAGTAGGAGTTTGTTTTTAATTTATTGGGTTCTTTTTTAGCTGACCAGTCTTTTTTTTTTTTTATGCAATTACCCAGTTGCAATACTGGGCTCAGTTGTATTCAAAAAGGATTAGTGAGGGGGGCTAAGCCTAACCTCATAAAATACAACTTGGTGATTCCATCACCCAAAACGACCAACAGAAGAAGAAAAAAGAAAAAAGAAAAAAAAACAGAGGAGATATATACAGAGGGGTTCTCCATCTGGGAAGAGCGAAGGGTACATCTCTAGCTGGAAAAAAAATTAGCTTTGTCGAATTTGGTTCTGATACTTGGTATTTGCCACTTATCCAAGAGGAAATAGCCTTTAGCACATGTAGGAAGTTGTTGATATGAGTTGATAGTCATGCTATTACCCGAGGTAGAAGCCAGTTTCGCAAGACAATTTGCAACTTGGTTGCCTTCTCTGTAGCAGTGCATTACTCTTACATCGGCCTGTTGTATATTGTGCAGCATTCTCTCAATAACTTATTTGATTTTAAGATTGTTGGTGTCTCTATTTATCAATATATTTGCAATTACCATAGAGTCGAGTTCGAGGATAAAATTTGTGTAGCCTTTTAGCTTGTACCATTTCAGTCCAAACTCAGCAGCTAGAGCCTCCGCAGTATTGCTGTTATCACACTGGACAACCCTCGAGAAGGCCATAATAAGATCACCATTGATATTCCTTACGATGCCTCCTATACCTACTTTGTTGTTTTCTCTGATGTAGCTACCATCGGTATTAACTTTGATACATCCCTGATTTGGTGTTGCGACCACAACACTTGACTCCAGCTTTGCATTGGTTTCAATTTTTCGATTCTTTGGCATAGATCTGGCCAAGGGTGGTGGTTGTCCCATCTTGGTATAATCTTCTAAATGGCTCCTTTGATATTCCAGATAACTTGATGCACCATCATTTTTGGTTGGAACTTCTTCTGATTACCATATTTGCACGATGTCCGTTGTTTCCATAGTTCCTAGCAAATTGTTAACGGAGCTATTTTAAGGATTAAGTTATGGACCCTGTTCTTTGAGCTTGTTTCCCACCATCTCTTGAATGTGCCCACCACCGGCTCTAATTGATGCCTTATGCCCAGTGGGTTGCCAATTGTGTTCCATGCTATTTTTGCTGCTTCGCTTCCATTGAATACATGTTCCATAGTCTCAACCTGCGGCAAACAACAACAAGAACATCTAGAAACAATGTTAGTGCCAAATCTATCAATAATATCATCAAAAGGTAGTCGCCTTTTAAGTAGCCTCCATGATAGGAAGGAGATTTTAAAAGGTATATATTTTTGCCAAATCTTACTAATGAAGTTATTCTTCTGCTTTTTCATTCTTACTAAGTCCCAAGCCGATTTGTTATTGAAATGCCCATCTTCAGCTAAATTCCATATTGGAAATGCCCATCACTTAAGATTAGCTGACCAGTCTAATTTTTGTTTGTTATAATAAATGCTTATATCCGATGTGTATAATTACAGGAGATGGCATATTTTAAGTGATTAACTTATCTACGTGATGGGCGCTTGAGAACACGCACACACAAAAGCTTTTCCAAAGTTTGAGACATAAGTGTCTAATGGAGTAGAAACACTTTTTAATGTGTTTAGGTGCTCAATTGAGATGAGCCTTAATTCGAATATCTAAATGAAATATGCTACCAAGTTTAAGCGGCTCTCGATATATTTCGGCTATATTTGCAGTCGTTCTTTAGAGGTTGGCTCAGTGAGTTAGCAGAAGTGTCGTGTTTGCATAGTATGCAGAATTTAGTAAACGGCAAAGGGCCAGAGATAGCCCTAATGTATGCGATTTAGAGCATTTATATCCTATCAGCATGTTCGAAACCATTCCGTTAACCAAACGGTTGGAAATGCCATTAGTGACTAACGGGGCCAATTTCTTCTTTTTAAAATCTCAAAGTAGTTTTTTTTATTTAATAAAAGACCACATATAATTAAAAATCTCATGCCACCGAATGCGTTGATTATGAATGACGTTGTTTTTCTAATGTGCTGTGTTATTGGTATGTACTTCTTGTGTTATGTAAGTTTTAAGCTGAGTTGAATGACTACTTTTATGAAAGCAATATTCTTGCTTGAGTTTAATTTTGTAAGCTGAGCAGTATTTGTGAAAGTATCACTCTCGTGTGCTTGTTATATGTGGTCCTGATAACAATGTCAGGGATGGTCTTGTAGCTGCTCGACACTTCCATCACTTTGGTTATCCAAAATAAAATACTAAACCTCCTTTTGCCGGTTTAGTCACCAAGGTAAAGGATACAACATGAAATTCTTGGACCCGGTTTGACCGGACGGATCCGGAATTGACAATGCTTTTCGGAAATTGTATAATAATAATAAACATTTGATTAACACAAAAGAAGATGCGTGTATAGTAGTAATGTTTTATCAAAAGAGAAATGGTCAACATTTGTGACCACAATATAAATATATAACATAGTTATAGAACTCAATCATACTTTCATATTTTATTATATATGCAGTATTTTTTTTTTTTGGTTTAAAGCCACCACCTTCACACATGTTGCCTTCGGTGTGGGGGGTAGGCAAGACCTCTACCATATGTCTATTCATAAGCAAAAAAGTACAGATAGAAGAGGGGGACATGGACCTTACCTCTTCATACAAATAAAGACTGATTATTGAAACAATCTTTCAATTTGTAATGAAAGGAAGCAGCCTATTCAATCCTTTCATCATACTACAAGTGATCAACTTACAAAGAACTTACATTTTTCACATCTTCGTCTAATAGTAGGTAGTTGCCATCTATCTAGTTGAATTAACCGCTTAGCCTCTCTAGGAAGTTGTTGAAGAGAGTAGTAAAAGGTGCCAGTTCCACTAGTAGATACAAGCTTTGCTAAGTTGTCGTCCACTTGATTGGCTTCTCTGAAGCAGTGAGATATTTGATATGTTGCATTTCTAAGGATATGAGCAGCTTCAGCTTGAGGTTATTGGTATCCCTTTTGATCAGCATGTTAGCAACCACCATTGAATTCAATTCTATGTGAATTCTGTCCAAACCATTTTGGATACACCAGCTTGTACCGAATTTTGCAGCCAGAGTACATTGAATAGGTAATGAGAAGGCCATAATAACCTCTCCAAGATTGTCCCTCACGACCCCTCCTATTCCAGCTTTTCCATTGTCTTTGATGAAGCTTCTGTCGGTGTTGAGTTTGATCTCTCCTTCAATTGGTTTGTTCCAGGTAACTTGTATGAAGTTAACCACACGATGTAGTCTTTCCACAGTGTCACATAGCATAGGCCAGGTGCCAGTAATTTTGCAATTCGGGAATGCTACATGGAGAGCCGCTTAATGTTCCATACTGTTTGGTATTCCATCCTTGTGTAAGAAAATTTTCTTTAATCGCCATACTTGCAACAAGTCCAGCTTTTCCAGATTTCCCAACAGATGATGATTGGTGCAATGAGCAAGATAAGTTTGTGAATATGCAGTATTTCTGTCTTTAAGTTTGTAGGCTTAACACATAAAAAAGTATATAATGAAGATATTATGAATATATCATTAGTTTACTCATAATGTGAAAAGAACCATTTATATATAGCACAATTTTACTTGAAAATGTATATTTTTAGCCACTCCTATAAATAATAGCCGATAAACTTTTTTTTGGGTGTATATATGTGTATTATTATTGGCCAATTTTGTATTTGCCCATTTTACTTTTATGTTTTGTTGTGCGGAATTTTTGTTTTGTCATTTTTTCTTCTTCTTACCACTTACCTGCATTTATAAGAATTGTTTAGTTTACCGCTAAACAACCATACAACAACATAAAATCATTTCAAATCAAAACATCAAACAATCAATAATAAAGGTTTTATGAGCAATTTAGCACTAGTGTAATATATATATATATATATATATATAATAAAGGTGAC